CCATCCTTTGCAAGTGATGATGGCCATGTACCATCGCGGATCCAGCCGGCTTTGAGAATTTGTATCTGTCAAGTAAAGCCAGTGTCTCAACAAGCAGTCTTGGGTTGCACGTCGTTGCATTCGAACGTACCACCAATCCCAACCTCATTGGCTGCTTCAACGTCTTTGAATCGGTCAACATCCGCCACACGGCTTCCAGTCCTCCTTGCCGCCATACTTTTTCATTCTCATCCGCTCCCGGCTCGGCCATCAGCAGTTCCAGCTTGTCCAGGGAAGAGAGCGCTGGCGCTGTTCCTGGTGTTGGCGAGTCCCGTGGTTTTACTGCTTCTGGCGGTGCAGTACCATTGGTATATGAAAGGTGAAGAAACGAAGGTAGTTTGCCTCGTGCCTTTGCTGATAATTGTTGGATGGTAGACATCAATGGTTTGCTGTTGTCTTCGTTTCCAGCGATGGAGGAAGTTGGTGTTGTGGCTCCGGTACAACTGTCCCGTGTGTGGATGCTCGATGTTTCAAACGTAAACTCTTCACCTTCCTCTGAGGACATGGCTACTTTTGGTGCTGCTGGATTGAGTTCTAGGTCACCTAATAGCCATGCGGCTCGACGAGCTTTCCATAGTTCCGGACCTGTTGTACATGTAGAGTCAGCAACACGAAAACAGACAAGAATTGAAATATCGTGAAGCTCGCTGAACTTTGTAGAGAGCTTGACTCACCATACGTTGTCGAGGAAGGTCCTGGATCTTGCAGTGTCTGATAATGAATGCCATCTTCGTACCATGCTCCAGCTGTGCCTCTGGACGTGAAAGCGATGCTGACCTGTGGTTTTAGCGGCGGCGTAAAAAGATTCGATGCTGCGATGACGACGGTGACTGGTGTTTCCGTTGGTGCTGGTTGAGCGACGGTCGATTGAACGGAGGCCATGTTGCGTCAAAGTTGTTACTGTTGTGACCTCCTAGCCTCCGTAAGCTTAGATAACGCTGTCCAACCCAATCCTCTTTGACGCTGGGAGCTGCTGCCGACACCGAGCGTCCGGGTATACTGTATCTGGGGATTTGCACACTCGCCGTCTGCAATAATAAACTCCTCGCCGTCAGCTAGTCTACCAGATCACAGGGAGTGCAACGCGAGGTTGACGGAATGAAGCATGATCGTAATCTTATGTTCTGAACTTATCACGGCTGTGCGATCGAAGTTTCAAGTCGATCAACCAACCAAGCTCGTTGCATAAGTTATTTGCATTGTTATAGAATACTTGGTTTGAATGTCAAGTATATATCATCGTCCAACAAACGACATGCGGTGTAGTAGGCTCCTCCATGCGGCTAAACCGGCCAGCGACGGCGTCTTTGGGAAATTCGAGCTGCTCCGTCCACCGAAAATACGCAAGTCTGCAGCATCATCTGGAGCATCGACATCGGTACATGTTCCGCCTTTATCGGTTCCTCGACACATATTACGTCCCTCGTATGTTCCAGTCAATCTCTTTACAAGGAAGACGAACGACGAGCCGTTAATGGATGGTCCGCCTGACGAGTTGGAGGGATACCACGGAGAACCTGGAGTAGGGAACAGTCAGACCGGTGTGATACCGCTTGGTGGGAAGGAAGAGCGTGGAGTCAGGTATTCCGGATCACTGGTGGCCGAGGTGTTGGACCAAGTGAAAAGTTTCGTTCAGGTGAGCTGCAGGACAGATGATCTGCGCGAGGACTGCGTCTATCAGTTCTATGCCTCTCTTCCCGTAGTATTCACACATTTATCCGTCAGCCAGGAATCACAACGTCCGCTATTGATAGGAGGATACATGAGTTGATTGTCTCGAAGAATGCGTACCCGTCGCCGCTAGGTTATCAAGGGTTTACAAAGAGCGTGACGACTTCGGTTAATAATGTGATATGTCGTGAGTCACACGGCCCGGAGTCCCTATCCTTACTGACAATAAGTATGTGCCGACAGACGGCATACCCGATGAGTACGCTACTTAAATAAGCAGTGACAACATCAACTCACTCCAATGTGTATGTTGTCGCAGTCGCCCTTTACACCCCACAGACATCGTCAACATCGACGTCACCATCTTTGCCTTCCTCCCAACCCAGCCCGGGTTGGAGGATGCGCCATATCGAATCGCATTCCATGGCGACTCTTCAATAACGATCTGTCTCCCCGAGGTGGATGAACAAGGGCGGGAACTTGTCGAGATTACGCAAGAGGCGTTGGATGTCGGGATCAAGCAGTGCGGTCCCGGTAGGAAGTTTAGGGAGATTGGATGCGCGATTGAGTGAGTCGTACACGCTCACGGCTTGATGTTGCGACGTACTGATTGCGTGACGTTTTAGAGCGTATGTAAGGCAGTACGGATATTCTGTTAATCAGCAATTCACAGGGTGCGCCACTGTTGCATCATGCTCTCGTCGCTAAATATATACTGATAATCATATATCAGGCATGGGATAGGTCAGCGTTTCCATACCGCCCCCTGGATACTACACCACGGTACACCTATCTCTTCGCACGTCCAATATCGCATGTCAACTAACCTTCTACTGTGTCTTCCCCTACTCTTCATATAGCAAACGACGAACCAGGGATCATGGAGCCAGGGCATTGTTTCACGATTGAGCCGTGTATTGTGCAGGGTGATTGGTCGAGGGGGTACATATGGAACGATGGGTGGACGTTTGCGACCGAGGTGGGTGACTTGTTTCGTTTGGGCTGTTCTTGCGTAGGTTGGCGCTGATGCCGATTGTCTGTTTACAGAGCAATGCGCGGTCTGCGCAATTTGAGCATCAGATACTTATTACGGAGCATGGAGCGGATGTTTTGACTCGGCGGAAATCAGAGTGATGCACAAAAAGTCACGCGCGACAGTATTGTGGTCACGCACACCATAGATGATGTTCTTAGGATGCCTGGGTATATCTTACCACTTCCGTTTATTGTTGTTCGCCGCCGTACGACAACGAGCTAGTGCTCTCGTCTGCATGGAAACTGAGCTGTAGACGAACAGGCACAAGATGCGAATTTGCAAAACACGTCCTTTGTGAACTAAGGATAAATACAGAACAGATCTATCGTGGCTGCGCATCCAATCGACCATTCCCTCCCGAGCTGATGCCCACTGACTAGTCTTCGCTATGGCGACTTGATCATTGCGGTCCTGTTTTCGTCTGTTTGGGAAGGGGGTTCCACGTCTTTGAGCCAGTTCTGAGATCCGACAATGTCTGACGGAAACCGTCCTCGCTACCCGAGCTTCCTTCGTCTTGATCGTGAGACTTACCTTCTTGGTCCTTGTCGGCCAGGCTATCGTCGGCCTTGTACTTGCGACGTTTGGAGACACGTGAGACAACTCTTCCCTTTGAAGGACTCGGGCTTAGGCAACTAGGGTCCGGGACCGTTTCTTCGGTCTTCGCTGTCGGACTCTAGTTCTCATGTGACTGGTCTCGTCTTCGGGCGGATAAACAAGTACTGCCGGCCCTTCTACTGAATGGATACCGCTCTCGTTGTCGCTGTCGTTGCCACTACCACCTCCAGTACCACCTGTCGCGCCGTCGGCAGTATCTACAGACGCTAGCCCGGGGACCAAATCTACAGACGCTGACCCGGAGCTTGATACTCGTCCACGCTTCCTCGAATGATAATCAGAAGGCTCCGGCATTGGTTACTGCCGGACGGTTGTGCTTGTAGGAACTCTGATGTGAAGCGAAGTGAGACTGTGATTCTGTTGGGGGTTCGCTGTGATGGAGTTACCGAGAACTTTGTTTCCCGAATGGCTTTATAGTACCTTGTTGTCCAGCCTCTGAAATGCAACGTAGACAATCAGGCAAAGGCGCAGATTCGAGATTGGGTTCCATAGCTGGTTCTATAAGCTTTCCTTTCAAGTACGGGTGTTCCTTTCGGAAAGCTCACACAGCCTCGTACGTCGTCGCTTGTCGGGCAGGGTTGTCTCCGCACTGACAAGTCAGTGGGGCCGACCTGATGTAGCTTCCCGCTTTAAGAATGATCTCCTGGTGGACTGTGATGGCGGGTCCTTCTACCGTTGAATCGCTTCCCGAATATTGAAAAACGTGTGGAAATGAAGATGGACATTCTCCCGCAAATCCGAACCTTCCAGTTTCTCAGGCTTGGAGGGCTAGGTCAAGACAACGAAAGTCTCGAATGATGCATGAAGACATGCAGAAGCGTCCTTTAGAGACCGCCGAAGTTCCGAGTCGGTCGCATGACATGATAAGTTTGTTCTATCGTCGACACTTCGGCGACAGGGGCGCGAATGACGATCTAGAGAATGAAGATCTAGAACGCTCATGGGGACACAGCCTGGTATCGGCGAGCAAATCTTCCGCGCTTCCATCAGTAACTTGAAACATATAAGCGTTTATAATTCAAGGAATTTCATCACAAGGCCAGGTACCCCGACGTGGGACGACGCCATACACGATCCGGAGGCTTCGACATGCGCGGGGGCTTTCGAGGTTCTGCCCGATTGCCAGTGGGAACAACGGAAGATCATGAAGGTGGTTGAGAACGCCTTCGCGCGGCGAACAGCTAGGCGGCCTTTCTGAGGTTCAAACGTTCAATACGTGTCGCAGAATTGCAAAAAGAGTTCACGTTCTCTGTACGACAATAGTTGCGAAGTACGAGCGTTGGGCCATGTCTTGCTTGGGTGGAACGCTCTTGCAGAACGATATATCGTTTCTCCTGCGGGGAAATAGAACCCCGGCACCGAATTTGGTAGTGCCGGATAGGCAATTCAGTCGCACAAGAATTGATGCGTCTGCCCCGATATTTCGGTCTGGAATCTTCGACTGGCGGACTTCTCACCAAGAACGCAGAACAATGGCATGCTTGTACAGTCCCCCGATAGCTCGAAAAGAGTCCTCTATAGTGTTGTAGACTGTCGGACAAGTTTTTGTTTTTCTGGCCAACCAGACGCCCGAAACCGTTCAAGAATGCAAAATGATCCCCTTCGATCTCGGTATGTCGAGGGTAACCTCAAAAAGTTTCTTCTCATGTTGGGGTCGAACCAACGACCTTCGAGTGACGGTCAACGGTTCCACCACAACGGCAGAACCTCTGAATAACAGCTCGACGCAACTACCACTGTGCTAATGGGAAGGCGTTGTGACGAGGTCCCCGGGTTAGAATATGATAATAGAGAAGCAGTGGCTCACCGATTCCGCAATAGGAAGCTCAAAGCTCATCGTGCATGCCTAAGTTTATTGCGGGTCTCAATAGGCTATACACAAGGCGGCTCAGCAGTCCAGCCGTCACATCTCATTCCCGGGTCTTCTGATTATGGGTTGTAAAGATAGGCGACCAAGTCAAACCGGTGGCAAATCATGCAGCAACTATATCTCCCTTCGTATCAGCGGAAGGCATCAGAGCAACTCGAGCTCTGTTAGTATACTCTTTACCTTTGGCTCTATATCATCTAGGCCAGGCGACTCGTCAGCGAGCGATGCTCTTTGAATTCACAAGTTCTCTTTCGCTTACCACCCTTGGGCAACTCACTGAAAATTGAAACGGAAGCTGGACTTGAAAAACGCTTCGGTTCGGCTAGGAACACACACTGGCTGATAGTGGGAAGGTGGAATGGAATGCTTGTGTGTAAGGAATGACGAAGCGTTCCTCACGAGAAAAAGCGATTTTACTGTGTCGCTATGCAGTATACAGCGGGCAAACGTAGACCGACATCGAGCAATCTGGACAGCACGACCAGCTGCACGACGCATCTGAAAATCTGTCGAGTCACCCAGGCAGCCACGGTAAACTTCTATATTCTTCCCGGGCACAGCTTAGCGGGGATTGCTAGCGTTCCACAACCTCAGCAAAAGATTTCCTCTTACCATCTAAAAGTAGTGCTTGAAATCGAGTCCAAGTATTTAGGTACACCCGGGTATTGTACCCAAAATGGGTACGGAGTACGGGTATGGGTATTCTGGCGTTCAACTTCTATAGGGTATGGGTATTATACTTGAGATTTTGGGTATATACCCGCAAAAACCCAATGTACTCGGTCCCTGACATTGCCTTGAAAAGTGACAAAAAGCTTTGTCAGACTAAAAGTCGACTTCATGTATTCCGCAACAACAGGGCTGACATTTAAGTCACGCCTCTATTCAATGTAATCACCTCGGTAGATCCTCGTACACCGATCAATTGCATATCCTAACGCTCAGCACCTTGATTGCAAGCGTCCCGCTTGGGCATCATTGGTTGCAATACGATGAACTTGATACGCACAGGGGATTAGTAGTAACATTCCGCTACACCCTATAGGAGAGGAGCGTCTGTGAGCGACTTCTGACTCGTACTATCTCACTTTCAGGGTACGCGGAGACTGGAAAGTCGATGTGGGGCGTTGCTCAACTGATATTGCTTGGAAAACTGCAGGTATTGATCAATCTGGGAAAGTCGCGAAAGCCATGGTTAAAGGTTTAGGTTCACTTCGCTTCTGGTCGCTGAGTGGCACTTGTAAAATACTCACAAAACAACTAAACTGTCCATTCTGACGCTCGGTGCGTGGTTTCCACGCGTTGTGCACGAGCCTTGCCATACCTTGCTCGTCGGTATTCCTCAACGTCTCCCTGCTGCTCAAACTGTGTCAGTGGTTCTTGACATCTCCTCGCACGATGTCGCTGAGCCCTAGCTCTTTGGTGCCCCAAGCACCCTGCACAGAGACGTATTAGTTAGTATAGTAAAGACGCGCATAGTTCACTGCTGGGATGACGTTGTACTCTCGTACAACCCTTATTCATCTGATAGTGTTAACTAGTTCCCGTTCTATGCTTACTATTCCGTTCGCCAAGTACAAAGTCACATAGTGCATTGTTGTAAGGGTTCGCAGCAAGTATCAGACAGTATGAATGACTTACTAAACCAAACGGGTTCCAGCTGCAATAAGATATGCAGTACTACTATGTCTTATGTTCTAACGAGCTAAGGTCAGTGATAGTAAGGTCAGCCAGACCTTACTAGACTCTTGGAGGCGGCAAGTGGAGGAAAGAACTTAATACGATAAAGGGTGAAGCGAAAAACATGTAGCGAGTCAAGGGGTACAAGTGAAAAGTCCAGCTATATGTACGTATTCTGGCTAGCTACTACAAGGCAAGACTTCCCGACGAAGTCTTCGCGGCGAAGTCTTCCTGGCGAGGAAGTTTGAGGAAGTCTGTAAGAGCCGGGTAACGTTGTATCAATAATATAGTATATGGATTATATTATATTATCTAAGATACAGTACAAGGCCTTTAAGTGGGATCAGTCAGAAAGGATTATGCTTCGCGACTATGTATATCGTGTAAGGCAAACTACTAACTTACTAAATGTAATAGCTAAACCGCTAATGGGAGCGAGTCTAGAGGTATTAATTAGTATTGTAGTTAGTTCAGTCAAGGACGCTGATCAGGAGTCAGGGAGGAAAAGCGTGTTTCATAAATCATAGGAGGCAAAACTTACAACTAATCTAGCTGCATTATATAGACGTCGGGATTGGGTGGCGAAACCAACCCGTCTCAAGGGCTCCTAGGGAGACCTATGGGTTACAACCTATCTTTGTCACTTCGTTCCGAAGATAGAAGTGACAAAGCGACAAAATGACAAAGTGACTGAGATTTCTATATACTGCATTCGCCACCATGGCGAATGGCTCTTCCCTAAGGGCTTCTTGAGGATGCGCTTAGGGTTGCACAGTGCAATAGCACAGTCGATGGGTAGTGTGCAGTTGTACAGTCGCGTTTGTGCAATTTGTACCAAAGGCGCGTATCAAAGGCATAATCCCTGACACCTAGGTACTGTCGAGTTGTGCAAGTGGTGCACACTTGTGGCACTGCTTCCACCAAGAGAGAATTGTATAACTACGTATTTCCTAAATACTACAATTCTGATATCAACTAGCAAAGGCGGAACTGGCAATTTGGGTCTTGACTCATCTGGTGAATACTGCGACTATCTACTGTACAACAAGTAACAAAAAGATAGCAGATACGAGAATCGAACTTGACGATGGTAGAAAGGGAAATAGGTAAAGGGGAAACCTATTATAATAGCAAGGTGTCAGTATTGCTTGAAGTTTGAGTCTCTTGCACTTGTCACTCAAGGAGAGGACGGTGCCGCTCAGCTTCGTGGAATCTAGGGGGGATGGACGTCAAACATGCAGATATGGCCGTAAGACTCTCCCTCGTTTCTTTATTCTTTTTGGCTGCACACACTGTACTGTGAACCCAGACTGCTCGCGATATCGATGTGTTATGAATCTTCATTGCGATACAATGAAATGTTACAAGGATGGCTGGACGCATGAGGCGGATCAACGGATGCCAAACGTATGAACAAGCGGAAGCAGGATTCAGCGCATTCATGTCTTCTTGGATGATTGAAGATCAGACGGGTGTACTATATGCACGTCCTGGAACTGGTCCCCATTCATAAAATCGGCAGCGTTGTTTGGAGGAACCTTGAATGTTTCCAATGATAGGAATTGCAACGTCTCTCCGTCAGGGCTCCCCATATTCTCTGTACGTTTCTGGGGATCGATGAAGTCGACGTAGGCAATGGTTCTCTTCTCTTCCCCCTTCTTCCATCCTCTGACCATGCGAAAGTGAGTTTCATCATCTAAAAGCTCTGTCTTTCTCCACGAGTTTGACCACACAAACACCGGTTCGGTGACGCTCTTGTTCAAAATGTCGGTGTACTGCGTCATGTCTGTGTCTTCTTTCATCATTGGAGTGGCTGTCATGCGTTTCCCCGTGAGTCGCGCGATAATTGTAGCAAAGTCGCACATCGACCCGCGCGTCTTGCTACATCCATACAAAGAAGGCTCGTCCGTGTAAGCTTGTAGCTTTCTGTCCTTGTCGAGTTTAGGTGTCAGCTCGCCGACGATGACATTCAGAATGGCTGGCCAGGCTGGAAGAGAGCGGTTTTCCACCGCATATGAAAAGTCGGAGGCGAGGACTTTGACGTCGAAAGAGAAAGGTTTAGGGTTCTCCCCTTTGTCATCAAAGTCATACGCGTTTACCGTAAAAGTGTTCTCTTGACCCCACTCCTGTGCACATCGTATCGTCACCTGCTTCTCGGCAAAAAGAGCAGTCAAGGCTGTGGGTGACGATTCGGCAAGCCTGAATGGGTATTCAAAGAGGGTAAGATGGTATCCTGTTCCCCATCGCGCCAATATGGCTTACAAGATTCCTGCTCTGGTTGTTTCGTCATCGATAGCAAGTCTGTTTCGTGTTCCCAGAACGTCACTAGGCATGGGCTCTTCACGACCATCTACGCCCCATATATCTAGAACGAAATCCTGGTCGCAGTTTAAGATACCTATACGGCGAATGTCAGGCACTCCAGACCTATCACAGAGGACCCCAAGCCAGGATACTTACCTGCAGACCCAAAGATCGTAGACCCGAAAAGGCATGCAAGACTTAAAAGTCGCGTCACTTCGCGGTTTGCCAACATATCGAGCGAGTAGACGTGATGAGATAAGGATATGCATATCGCAGGGCGAGGCTCGACATCCGGAGATGTAGCCTGATATATACATATAGCGTGATTGAGCGACACGAGATGGAGGTGAAAGGGAGACTCGCTGAGAGGATATTCACGAGGGGTAGAGTGAAAGGGAGGGCAATTGTTGGCCCATAGCTGACAATTCCTTTGTAGTCGCGGTCGCGACCACAAGCGCAGTGGCCACTCTGTGTTAGCTTCCGTGTTGCCTTGATCGTCCACCGGCCATCTCCCTGAAATAGTCAGGCGACGTGGAAATACTCTGGAGTGGATGAAACATCATATCAAAACTGATTCGACTGATCAGACGACATTCGAGGTAGGGCCCGGTCCTCCCTGGTACACCAAGCTTTTCTGAGTCATGATCTATGACGAGGACGGGGGGCACTACTGAGGCTGGTGACTAACGGCCTTAAAAGCGTGACTGATGACTCACAAGAAAGGGTAAAGGGTGGAGGGACTGGCTGTACCTGTTCAGCTTGCTCATTTCAGCAGTCAGCATGATCAAGTAACATCACGACGTTCGCCCAGTTACTCGACCGAGTTCCTGGAGTAAGGGTACATATAGAGATCACGATGACATCCCTTGCGTTGACCTTCCCATCGATGTCAGTCCA